TTTTTGAAATTTATTTAAAAATGGGTTCAAATGTTACCTAAGTCGCCTTTTATTAATAAACACTGGAATTTTTAAGGTAAGACCTTTTAATATATTTGCTTAGATTAACTTCAGATATTTTATGTGCCGTGTTCCTTCAGGGCAAGTGTGATCATGGCTCTCCACAACTTCCTATCTTTTGTTTGTTTGTTTAGCGGCATATCAACTCTTTATGGGTCATTTAATACCGAAGTTTAATTTTCTTGGGAGCATTAGTAATTTCTGTTACAAAAATGTATTGCTAGTAAGTTTTTAATATGAAAGTGTATTTTTACTATAATTTTTTTAATATTTTCATAGTATTTTGACCCTAGTTTGGGGATTAACTATTTTCCCATAATACCTAACAACTTCTACCAACCCGGATCAGGGTGGACCTAGGAATAACAACAATTAAAAGGTGGTTCCACGTTCCTCAAAACATCCCAATCAGATGCCTTGCTTCTAGATGTAGTTTATCGTCAGGACGTCCCTATCCTTTGTAACTCTAAGTAATGTGTGTACCCTTATTATTCCTCCTTGTACATGCTGTGCCATCCATTTTCCCGAGCTCCTAAGGTAGGTTGCTCACTGTTTCTCTCTGTGTCCTTCTTGCTTTTAATATGTTATGTGAGGGTCAAATTTTCCTCGCCCTTTTTTATAATGCTTCTCAAAGATTTCAACTGTTTCTTTCTGATTTTAACCACAAGCGTACTTTTAAATTCTGATCTATACGCAGGACGCAGTCAATCATAGCTCTCTACAGCTTCCTTTTTAATATATGTAAACTGCCATGCCATCTTCGGAAACATAGTGGACCTGTTTCCAGTTACCTTCTCTATTATTTTGAATTTAGAGTTGTCCTCCTAGACAGGCTATCACTCAAGTCTCGTGAGACAGCCCAGTCTGCTTTGTTATTTAATCTATAGCCGAGGAGAGAAGAAATGGATTAATATTTTCCCAATTGTATTAATGGTAAATAAATGTAATAGACTCTGTCAGAATTTGAACTCGGCTTGCAGACGGATAGAAAATGAATTGAGTTGATACACAGGAATGGAAAGGGGCATAAGAGAAAGTGTCTTCTCGCCGAATCTATTCAACCTCTACAGCATGGATATCCTAACGGGTATCCTATCAGGATTTATTATCGTGGGACGCAATCTTAACGATACAAAATACAAAAATTACACTGTATTGATGACGGACAGAGAAGTAAAAACTATTTATACAATTTACAATATTCGGACTGTTGTCCCCATCTTTATTACCACATTCACGACGTTTCGGTCGTTTTACGCCCCGGCTTTCTTCAGGTGATATTTGTTGGAATTTCAAACCGAACCGTTTATTTATTCCATGTGCCATGGTTTTTTGGATACCTCCGTTTTAGTTAATTTCCCTTGACAACTCTCCAAGGTTTTGTTGTGGCCATTGAAATCAGAACTCTTTGTGTCATTTTTGGATCAATCAAACAATGCTTTTATCCACTGGGTCATGTGTGCTTGGGGACATTAGTGAGTAAATGTTTGAGAATTATAAACTAATGTCTCTCCTCAGTTTTTTTTTTTACCAGAACTCATATTACATTCTTTTTTTTTTTTGTTATTGTTATTGTTGTCTTTTCTTTAGCTCTCTATCTTAGTTCCCATATTGTATTCATTTCTATGCTTGGCCGGCTTGGGGGATTTTTATAGCCTAGCATATGCGTTGATTCCTTAAGTTTTCGTAGAGAAGGAAAACTACAGGAACTCCTAGAAAAGTATTAAAGGAAAGCGAAACAAAAGGACTAAGGAGACAGAAAGTATGGTTGTCAACAATACAAACAGCCCACGATGCGAACTACGAATTGTAAGTGTCAAAATCAAACAAGTACAAGAGTTTAAATATCTGTGAAGTGTTTTAACAGACGATAGAAAATGTGACACCGAAATCCGAAATACGCATTGAAATAGAAAGACATTTCAAAAGCTAAACAAAATACTAAGAAAAAGGAAAATATCGTTAGAAACAAAAAAAAGAATGCTGAACAGCTATGTAATATCAGTCCTCTTATATGCCAGTGAATCCAGGACAGTTTTCTCACAGATAAATAGAAAACTGAAGGCAACTGAAATATGGTTATACAGAAAGATACTGAGGATGCCTTGGATGGAGCGCGTATGCAACGATGAAGTCTTAAGAAAAATGGAAACGAAAAGGACATTTATATTCAGAATCAGAAAGAGAAAGTTGACATTTCTTGGACATATAATGAGGAAGGAGGGCTTGGAGAATTTTACACTCACAATACAAAAAGAACAGGAAGAAGCAGCAGGTCACTTACCTGACTAGTTTGTGTGATTGGATGGCGGAAAGTAAGGTCAGGGTGGGAAAAGACAAACTTTACTAAGAGCTACAAAGGATAAGAAGTTGTGGAGAGAAATTTTCGCCAAAGTTCTAAAGGGTCATGGCATATAAAAGAAGAACATTACACTACCTGCACACATTTTGGTAATCAACAGGTAAATATTTACAGTTTGGCCAACGTCAAGTTGCCGATGGGATGACAATGTTTTTCTTGTTCGTAAAAAGCCATTTTTTGG